GGTGCCCACGCGTGAGCCCACGGGGAAAAACGCTTCCCTAAAGCCTCGGAGCGGGGGAACGCTCTTTGGTCCAGCGGGTCGGAGCATCTCTCAGGGGGCTCTGCGGGCCACCGCCGGCAGCGGGAGGTGTGAGCCAGCATCCTTGGGGTAATACAGATATAAACCGGCCCAAACGCTTCGGCAGATTCTCTCTATTTCTCCAGAAGAAACAAAAAATTAAAATAATTAATGAACAAACGAGGTGACTCGAGATTTGTCTCGGTGGGAGTGGGAGCATGCGGGGGTTTCCGTGCACGTGAAAACTCTGCTTAAAACCCACGAGATAAGTTTTCTTACCACCTTTACCATCTTTTTTTTTTTTTTTTTTAAACAAATAAACTTGCTCTTTCTAGTGCTACCGTTTCGCTGGTAGGTGAGCCGATTTTCATTGAAAAAGTTGAGGCGTTAAATAGGCTGCGGAGGCACATGTTTCTATAGTAACAGCCGAGAAATAGCTAGTTTTTAAAAATAAAAAAATCGTTTTCTTTTTCCATTATTATTTTGCTAAACATGATACGAAGGAGCAGTAAAAACCGCCTGGTGAAAATTAGAAAATGTCCACCGAGAGTGCTGCGGGGTTATTTTTGAGTGCTCAGAGCCAAACAGATCTGAAGACACGCATCAGCCGTGCCTAAGCAGCCAGCATTTTTAAACTCAAGAGTCGCGATAGTCGTGACGAGGATTATCTGTGCAGGTCTGTCTGCGGTGAGTTCACGTGTAGCATTGCAGGGAAAGAAAAAGTTGCTGTAAGAAACTCCAGTCCGTGTGCTGTACAGGGATCCGACGCTTTTCTTTTTCCCCCTGCTCTCTCAGCAATAGGGATTTACTCAGCCCTATTCGGAGACTATAGGGAAGGGTCGGTCCGGGGCACGACTATATGCGCCAGAACATATATGTCCCAGGGTATGGTATGTCAGGAGAGGGAGGGAGGGGGGTTCTGCGTGTGTGTGAAAGGTACGCCAGGCAAACCCGCCCCGGGCTGATTTTCACAACCCCTTTAACTGTTAAACAATGCGTAAAGCTCTTAAAATGGATCGCCCGGAGATTTTTTAGACCCAAATTAGCCTGAGGTAACCAGCTGCGGTAACAGCAGCCCGCTGCTGTCATCACCAGTCTCCGGGCTGGTCCCCCCCCAGCCTGCAGCTTCCCAGTACGTGCCGCTGGCTGCTGCCTCTATATATCGTGATGCTTAAACAGGTGTTACTTTTATTTCCCCCCAAACTAATTATTCCCCCAGCACAGTGCCCCATTGGGAAAGGATTACGTCGGAGATGTGCCAGGCGAGCCAGGGCTGCCGGCAAACGCCAGCCCTCGCAGGCAAAGCCATTGAGAGCTTTTTGTTTGGGTTTGGTCATTAGAGCGGTAATGAAGTTTTCTCGTGTGCGAGGGGAGAGCGGCAGAGGGCAAACAAGGCAGGGCCCTGCCGCAGCCAGCCCGGGGCTTCAGGTTTGG